AAAAAAAAAGAAAAAAAAAAGAAAAATTAAACAAGTATCCACGTCTGTCAGCCTTAAAGATATCTTCACCTTAGTTTTTGAGACCATGTAATACCACTGCCAGAAACCTAGCAGTCCTCCCAGCCCTGTCCTTAACTCTTCTTTGACTCACCCATTACATCTAATCCACCAAGTCATTTCAGGTCTACTCTCAAACATTCTGCAATTTATCCACTTCTGTCTCTGTTGCTACCTCATTAGTTCAGGACAAGGTTTATTTTTGCTTGGACTATTGCAATAGCTTCCTCTTGGGCACACCACATTCACTCCTCTTTCAGGCACTTGAACCCATGAGGCTTTTTCTTAAAATGCTTCTCCCCCTCCCACCTCTCCCCATCCCCGCTCTTCCAATGACTTGCTCCTTCCTATTAGGTCTGGTTAAAGTCACATCTTCACTGAAGACCTTCCTTCCTCTGAAGAAAGATCTCTCCCAGGTCATACCATTTGTTATTCCATATCAATCCCTGTTCGATTTCTTCTCAGCACATTCCACAGTTTGTAATAATTTTGTTTACTGTGTTGTCTCCTTCTCTTTATTTTATTATTATCTTTTTTTGAGACAGAGTCTTGCTCTGTCACCCAGGCTGGAGTCCAATGGTGTGATCTTGGCTCACTGCAACTTCTGCCACTAGGGTTCAAGCATTTCTCATGCCTCAGCCCCCAAGTAGCTGGGATTACAGACATGTGCCACCATGCCCAGCTAATTTTTGTATTTTTAGTAGAAATGGGGTTTCGCCATGTTGGGCAGGTTGGTCTTGAATTCTTGGCCTCAGGCAGTTTGCCCGCCTTGGCCTCTCAAAGTCCTGGGTTATAGGTGTGAGCCACTGCATTCGAACTCCTTCTATTTATTTATTTATTTATTTATTTATTTTATTTGCTTTCTCTCCAGGGGGAAGTCATGTCATCTCCCTCTCTATAATGTAACCTTGGTAAGGGCAGGACCATACCTGTCTCCTTGACCACTTATCCCTAGTAGGATTGCCAAATTTAGCAAATAAAAATACAGGATACCCACTTAAATTAGAATTTCAGGTAATCCATTAATAATTTTTTAGCATAAGAATGTCCACGTATTGTGCAGGACATACTTACACTAAAAACTATTTGTGGTTTGTCTGAAATTTAAATTTAACTGGGCCTCTTATATTTCATCTGGCAATCCTAATCCTGAGGCCCTGACACATAGCTGACTCTCACTACATCTTACTGAATGAAAATTTGGTAGCAGCATATCAAAATTGCTACTATGGCAACAAAGCTGGGGAAATGTGCTAAAAGTACAGAACTGAAGTAGTGAAAAACATCATTTTCCATCATATTTCTGTTCATATTTGCCTGTCTTTTCACACCAGGAGACTCTAATCAACTCTCATCCAAAGTCTTGGGCAGCACAGTACTCTGGGAGGGATGCTGACCATAGGAAGGGAACTGGTAGGTACAGCTTTTCACACAGTGGAAATTTTTGTCATGGCCTTGTACTCAGACCTTGATTTTCTTTGGCCCTTATCTCTCCAGACTGTGAGCTCCTTAAGGGGAGAGCCTGCTTCTTTTTATTCAACCCTCCATCCCCAGCATCTTCATCTGTAGCTGGTAGTAAGGACTCAACGTGTGGTTACCGAATGGACTGATAAATGAGTAAAGAGTAGGATAACTAACTCTCCTGGTTTGACCAGGACTGAGGGGTTTCCTGGGATGCGGGTCTTTCAGCAAAAAAATTGATGTAGTCCTGTACAAACTGGGACAGTTGATCACCCTAAGAAAATGAGTGGTTCTCACTTCTTGGTGGCTGGTGTTCTTCTCCAGTATCATCATATTGGCTGCTACGTGACTACCAAGATTAGACAACCTATTGGCCTGGTTCCTTATCCATTGAAAGCTGGATGTTTGGAGCGCTCATGATCCCCTACATTTCCCCATGTCTGGATTGGCTCCTAAGAGCTTTGCCATACCTCCAGTCTCATCTCATGGTCTTAATGCTTGGCTTTATGGCCTGGTCTTGTGATATCTAGCACATGCCTGGTCTTGTGCTCCTAGAATGAAGGCCTTCAGGTCAACCACACAGGAAAGGACCCTGGGCCTTGGTTCAATCTTAGCAAGACTTACCTGACCTGCTAGGTTTGTTTCATCAAGACCTGATTATGACCAATCACTACTTCCACAGAACACCAGCAAGTTTATTGAGTAATTAAGGTGACAGCCATAGAACTTTGCAAATCCGTTTCCGCAAAAGTTCTGAGTTACTTGACTATGAAAAGTGAGTTTTCATTTTAACCAACCCCCGCTCCCAATACTACCAGAAAGCATAAGATTCTGAAGAAACCTTCACAAATCTACTCTTAATTATGGTAGCAGTGTTCCAGTCTCAATTAGGTTCTGCTGGGTTCCTGGAATTGGGAGTGAAGTGGCTCTTGAGTGGCTCCCAGCACTTGTAGTAGTTCTCATCCAAACACTTGGAGGCCTTGAGTCCCCACTTGGTGACCGCTAGACTTAGAGATGATTCAAACATAAATGCCTGGAGGAAGTGAGGATGGGGATGAGAAAAAAGAGGTGAGATAGATAATAAACACGTTTGATTAGATGTCAACAGAAGGTATGGGTAGGTAAAATCTTCCAATAACAAATCAAAGATTTGTGTGCTAGCATGGTGAGGAGAGCAGGCTCAAGCCCTGAGTTGTGGCTCTGGTCCTACCATTTGTAAGCTGATGAGACCTGGTACAAGACCCTTAACTTCTCAGGGCCTCAAGTTTCATTCTGTAAAATAAAATTTAGCCCTTAAGCTTCACATTGTCTTCATGGTATTAGGGAACTAAGTCTGCTAGATCCAAGGGCAGACGTGGGAGAATCCTGGGAATATCCACCTTCTCAGGGACTTCATTGACTGTGGCTATGTCCTTGTGAGAAAAGGCATACTTCCCACTTTACAGAGGAGGAATTAAGGCTGAGAGCTGGGAAACAACTTGCTTAAGGCGACAAGTCATGGCAGAGTTGGGATTTGAGCCTGTCTTTTCAGGACCCTGACCAAAAGATGGGCTGGGAAAAAGAGAAAAGAGGGAGTGCAGGGGGAGAGGGAGGTGAAGGAAAAGGCAGGAATGGCTGTAGCACTTTTAAAAGTCATATCTCAGAAGTGTCTGAAAGGTGGATGTTTCACTGTCAGGAGGTTTTTGTCCACAACAGAAAGAATATGCAAATACCGTGTGCATCTTAGACATTACAGCTTCATCAATTGCTGATTTTTCTTACCCAACATAGCTTTAAAAACAAAACAAAACAAAACCCCAAAACCAAACCCTACAATTTTTATATGCTCACATTTGGAAATTTGTAAAATATAGATAGGCAAAAAGAAAATAATAGAATTATCTTGTGCCACCACCCAAAGCACCCACATTAATGTTTGGGCTCTAATATACATTAACTTCTTTTTTTGCCTAAAACAATGGATATGAGTATCCCTGCCTGAATTTCTGTGACAGACTTGATGGAAAGACTGGATGAGATCATATGGAAGTGCTATGCAAGTTATACAGCACTATTCAAGATGCAGAAAAGGCTTTCAATAAAATTCAGTATATCTTCATGTTAAAAACTCTCAATAAACTAGGCATTGAAGGAACACATCTCAGAATAATAAGAGCCACCCATGACAAACCCGCAGCCAACAACATACTGAATGGGGAAAAGCTGGAAGCATTCCCTTTGCAAACCAGCATAAGACAAGGATGCTCTCTCTCACCACTCCTATTCAACATAATCTTAGAAGTCATGGCAAAGAGCAATCAGGCAAGAGAAAGAAATAAAGTGCATCCAAATAAGAAGAGAAGAAGTCAACCTATCCCTGTTTGCAGATGACCTGATTCTATATCTAGAAAACACCATAGTCTTGGCCCAAAAGCTACTTCAACAGATAAACAACTTTCAGCAAAGTTCATGATACAAAATCAATATACAAAAGTCACTAGCATTCCTGTACACCAACAACAGTCAAGCTGAAAGCTAAATCAGGAATGCAATTCCATTCACAACTGCAACGAAAAGAATAAAATACCTAGGAATACCCCTAACCAGAGAGGTGAAAGCTCTCTACAATGAGAATTACAAAACACTGCTCAAAGAAATCAGAGATGACACAAACAAATGAAAAAACTTTCCATGCTCATGGATAGGAAAAATCAATATCATTAAGATGACCATACTATCCAAAGCAATGTAAAGATTCAATGCTGTTCATGTCAAAATACCAGAGACATTCTTCACAGAACTAGGAAAGACTATTTTAAAATTCATATAGAACGAAGAAAGAGCCCAAATACCCAAGGCAATCCTAAGCAAAAAGAACAAAGCAGGAGGCATCATGCTACCCAATGTCAAAGTACACTACAAGGCTACAGTAATCAAAACAGCATGGTAATGATACAGAAACAGGCACATAGACCAACGGAATAGAATAGAGAGCCCAGAAATAAGGCCGCACACCTATAACCATCTGATTTTCAACGAAGCTGACAAAAACAAGCAATGGGGAAAGGACTCCGTATTCAAGAAACAGTGCTGGGACAGCTGGCTAGGCATATGCAGAAGATTTAAACTGAACCCCTTCCATACATCATATACAAAAATCAACTCATGATGGATTAAAGACTTAAATGTAAAACCCCAAAACTATAAAAACTCTGGAAGATGACCTAGGCAATACCATTCAGGACATAGCCATGGGCAAAGATTTCATGACAAAAACATCAAAAGCAATTGGCAACAAAAGCAAAAATTGACAAATGGGATCTAATTAAACTTAAGAGCTTTTGCACAGCAAAAGAAACTACCAACAGAGTAAATAGACAACCTACAGAACGGGAGAAAATGTTTGCAAGTGACACATCTGACAAATGTCTAATATCCAACATCTATAAGGAACTTGAACAAATTTACAAGAAAAAATAAACAACCCCATTAAAAAGTGGGCAAAGGACATGAACAGATGCTTTTCAAAGGAAGACATACACGCAGCCAACAAGCAAATGAAAAAAAGCTCAATATCACTTATCATTAGAGAAATGCAAATCAAAACCACATGAAATATCATCTCACATCAGTCTGAATGGATATTAGTAAAAAGCCAAAAAATAACAGATGCTGCTAAGGTTGCAGAGAAAAGGGAACACTTATACACTGTTGGTGAGAGTGTAAATTAGTTCAACCACTGTGGAAGGCAGTGTGGTGATTCCTCAAAGAACTACAAAAAGAACTGCCATTCTACCCAGCAATCCCATTTCTGGGTATTTACCCAAAGGAATGTAAATCATTCTACCATAAAGACACATACATGCAAATATTCATTGCAGCACTATTCTCAATAGCAAAAACATAAAATCAACTTAATACCCATCAAGGACAGCCTGGATAAAGAAAATGTGGCATATATATATATATATATAGAGAGAGAGAGAGAGACATACATAGAGACATTTGTCAGATGCATCATTTGCAAATATTTTCTCCCATTCTGCAGGTTGTCTATTTACTCTGTTGGTGGTTTCTTTTGCTGTGCAAAAGCTCTTAAGTTTATTTAGATCCCGTATGTCAATTTTTGCTTTTGTTGCCAATTGCTTTTGATGTTTTTGTCATGAAATCTTTGTCCATGCCTATGTCCTGAATGGTATTGCCTAGGTCGTCTTCCAGAGTTTTTATAGTTTCGGGTTTTACACACACATATTATATGTATATATATACACATACATACATATATTATATGTATGTATATATGTAATGGAATACTATGCAGCCATAAAAAAGAACAAGATCATGTGTTTCTCAGGAACACGATGGAGCTGGAGGCCATTATCCTTAGCAAACTTAGAGGAACAGAAAACTAAATATTGTATGTTCTCACTTCTACATGGGAGCTAAATGATGAGAACTCACAGACACAAAGAGGGGAACAACAGACACTGGTGCCTACTTGAGAATAGAGGGTGGGAGGAGGGAGAAAATCAGAAAAAATAACTATTGAGTACATTTAGTACCCGAGTGATGAAATAATCTATACAATAAACCCCTGTGACATCAGTTTACCTATATAACAAATCTGCACATGTACCCCTGAACCTCAAATAAAAGTTAAAAATAAATAAATAAATAAATATGTAAAAGATAAAAATGAATAAGACCTAGCATTTGATAGCATAACAGGGTGACTACAGTCAATAAAAATTTAATTGCACATTTTAAAATAACTGAAAGAGTATAGTTGGATTGTTTGTAACACAAAGGATAAATGCTTGAGGTAATGGATACCCCATTTATCCAATGATGTGATTATTACATATCATATGCCTGTATCATAATATCTCATGTACTCCATAAATATACATACTTATTATGTATCCATAAACATAATAAGTAATAAAAAATTTGAAAAGCACTATTGAGACATAAGGATCATTATGGCTATTCCTATTGTCTCTTTGCTGGCTGCTTCTTAAAAGCCTCTCCATTTGGCTGGATTAACAAAAGCCCCATCCAGCTGACTTTGAAGATGGTATTGTATCAAGTTAATCACTCCAAACAAGAATAAGGATAAGGTATATAGATAGACCTGGGTCTGAATTATACAATGGGAAATGGTGAGGACGACCAAAAGTTAGGTCTCGGTAAGATGTTGGACCCCCTGTCCTCAGGTATTCTGGCTCCTTGATACCCAGGGTCTCCCATCCTAGTAGGAGAGCTGTTTCTCACTAGTAATTCAAAGCATTGCTCCTCATAGAAACAGCCCTGTCCTATGCCTCACTGTTGTAAAACACAGCTCCCTCATAACATTGACCACCCAAAGCCAAATTGGGGCACCAAAGGTTATTGAGTGGCAACTCCGGAAGAGCCTCCAGGAATGCACCTCCAGGAGACTTCAGAGGTAACAGCTTAACTGAGACTGCCAAACTGCATCTCATTGAGATGTAGGGGTTCGACAGAAACTCCACAGAGGCCCTTGAAATGGGAAATAGAGCCAAAGCAAGCAAATGGGACTCTGTACACCCTCCTTTTGCAGAGGAGCTCCACCAACTCTGGCTCCAGGGTTGGGACTGAAAGCAAACTGCACTAGACAGAGGGACAGATAATACTCACTGCTTAGGGTAGTTTGCAAGCATGAAGCAGGCAAGTCTGTGCTATGGATTTTAAACCAGGTAGCATTCAAGGCATTTATTTTAAAAAGTAAAGCAAATTTGCATGTGATTTAGCATAAAATTACTCCCCGTGGACCATAAACTCTACCTCGAAGAATGCAAAATAAAATCAAGCACCGCAGCCAACTGCAATTGTGTTCAGCCTCAATGTTTACAGCCTGACACAGGAGGAATACAAAACAGGTTTTAAATCCCATCAGTTGCATCCATGCCAAAGCAGAGCAAAGAAAAATGAAAAAAACAGCTGAGAATTGCTTCTCACAAGCCCTGACTATAGTGAGGCAAGGGCTTTTTGACCCTCCTTGGTTTGAAACATGTGCTGAAGGTGACATCCTGCCTCCGCTACTATTGTGGCCCTGGAGGATTACTTCAAAAAGCAGAAGACTCTGAGACATAGCATATTCCTAGGGCTGCATATGGATACAGGAAGAGGCTTCACATAGTATTAATAATATTCCCTTACATTTGAATAGTGTTGGACAGTCTGTTAGGTTCACTTATAGCTATCTGCTGGGTTGGATACTATATCCATTTTATAGATGGGGAAAATGAAACACAGAGAAGCTAAGTGAGTTGTTCAAGATCACACAGGAACTAAGAGATGGGACCTGAACTCAGAACCCAGGTCTGACTCCAAGTCCGAAGATCTTTCTACACCACCACAACAGAAGTCTAGCATATACACAAGGATGTGTGTATATATAAATGGAAATGTACTTATGCAGTCATGTAACTCTCCCCCTTTTGACTCTTCCTCTGTGACTTTGGAGAAATGAAAAATGGCCACCTCTCTCAGCAAGGGTGGGGAGTTCAGAGGCCGCCGGAATCTGGCAGTTAACATACTTACCATAGTGCCATCGGCAATCCTCTCAGGTGCCAGCTTGGCCTTGCTGGCCTTCTCAAAGCAGTCAGCATCAGGTCCATGGGGGGTCATTGTGCTGTGCAGACTGCCTCCACCTGGCAAGAACCCACCTTGCTTTGCCTCATAGTGACCTCGGATGAGTCCCATGAACTCACTCATGCAGTTCCCTGGGAAGGTTGAAGCAGGATTATTTTTATTATCCAAGCAAGGCAAGACCAGTAAAACACAAAGATCCCTCAAGCATTATTTCTGCAGAATTCCAAGAACATAGGAGAAACTAATAAATTGTATAGGATTAATAAAGAATGTGGATTGACAGAAGAACAATCACAAAACATTCATATTGGCATTCTTGGCAGGCATGGCTCTACTCCATGGCCATGTGGATTATCAGAGGTCTTGAGTTCCACTATCTGACAGGAATCAGGCTAGATCTAAAGAAAATCAGGGCCCAGAGAAGACAATAATAATTAAAATGGTAGTCATAATAAAGAGTGAATGTACTCTATCATGTAAGCTTACAAGCCCTCTATCAAAGTTATCTTATCTCCCAGATCATAACCCTTTCCCAAGCAGCTCCACTGTAGGACACAGCAACACCATATTTCTAATTCCCAATCTAGAAGGCTTAGATTGGGGGTGTGTGTGTTTTGATGGATGATGATGTAATGAAAAGAACTCCAGACTTAAAGTCCATTATCAGATGATAATCTGTGTGAAAGAATCTTGGTATGTGTATAAAACAGACCAGCAATGCTATTTATTATGACAAATATTATCTTCTATAGATGAATCTGTTATCCTCTTGTTTTTCTGTTCTTCAAAATGTCTTCTGGATTTGTTTTTATACCCTATTCATAGAGTCCTAAACCTTAAAATTGGAAGGGATCCTTACTTCTACTCAATGTAGAAGAAATTTCTATATCTTTCCTGACTGATTACCTCCTGGGCTCTGCCTGGATGTGAATGGAAGTTTTCCACTCTACCAAGCATATCATATTATTGAAGAGCTCTGTGTGTAAGAAAGCTCTTATATTAAATGGAAATTTGCTTTTATATGAGTTAAATTCATTGGTCCTAGTTTGCTTTCTAGAGTTACACAAAATTTAACAAAAACCACCATGCTTCCACTCTTCCAATCTTATGCTTCTATTGAAATAAAGCTCTTTATTAGAGTAGCAATACAACAGAGCAGGAATTAAAGAAATATAACACCTGAGCAAATTTAAGTGTCTTTGCATCTCAAACCACACATCTACTCATCCATTCATTCATCTGTCCTTTTCCCCCTTCACCCATCTGCCCATCCAGCCAGCCAGCATATATAATTAGATACTGTGCTGGGTACCATGAGACAGAGATGAATAAGAAATAGATTTTAAAGCTACTTAAAAAAGAAATAATTAACAACAACAACAACAACACAGCCTTTAAAGCTACTCATAGTCTGTCCTGTGAGAGTACTGAGAGTGCAAACCAAGGACGGAGTAGAGAGATGTGGCAGTGGCAACCCTTACAAAATTACACTGGACAGGATGCATGCCTGCCCTCTTGCTTACATGTGCAGTATAACCAAGTGCCAAATGCTTTTATAATTTACTAAGCAACCACACCCACCCTGCTCAGAAACAGAAAGCTACTGCAGGCCCCTACAAAGTGAGTGAGAGTTTGTGAGCTCCTGCTGAAGAGGGAGACCCAGACCATAGCTCTACTTGTTTCTCTATGAAGTGGAAATACAGAAAAAGCAGCAAATGTAAGCATAAAGTGTCTAAGTTTAAAAAACAGTTCAGCTCATGACTTAAATTTGGTGTCACACTCCTTGCTCTAGTATGTGTCCTCAGGGTCACCTTCACGGCTTAATTTTAAGAAGAGAGCAAAATGGAATTCAGCTTTGATCTGAATATGAATTTAGATAGCAATGAGCTTGGTGATGACATTTCTATATCATTTTCTATATTTCAAAGGACAGTGGGAGGATAGACCTTGCCTTTCTGATTAAAGCTGAATCTAGTTGACTAAGGCACATTAAGATGATCGGAGGCAATATTTCTATAGAAATAATTCTCCATTTTCTCTTATAATAAAGTCACATCAAAGTAGCAAAGATTTTGAGTATTGCCAAGGCAATATTTTTAATATCTCTGGAAAACTCTTTTCTAACCTGGGATTCTGTAGTTTTTTCCAACTAACTCAGAGTACCCATACCTTTATAAGATCTACCCTGGGGCCAAATTTACTTTGAGAGTCATTAAAAAACTACAGGAGGCATCTCTCAAGGTTATTTGTGTCAGGAAGTCTGAACTACAAATAAAAATTAAGGAGTGGGTTGAGACCCTATAGCACAGTAGCAAACTTGTCTAAATCAGATGACTCTATTATTCCTCCACCTAGGGCCAGGGACATGCTCTAGGCCGGTATTTCTCAACAAGCAGTCTGTAAACCTCCTTCATCAGAATCCCCTGACTTGTCAGTGAAAAAAATGCAGATTCTGGCCAACCACGGTGGCTCACACCTGTAATCCCAGCACTTTGGGAAGTCAAGGCAGGTGGATTGCTTGAGTTTAGGAGTTCGAGACCAGCCTGGGCAACATGGCGAGATTCCGTCTGTGCTAAAAATGCAAAAAAAAAAAAAAAAAAAA